ACGTCTCTACCACTTCGAGATTAGGCTTGATACTTACTGGGTACACGTTGTTTTCGTACTCATACTGTACTTGCTGCACATTTGTATTGTGCAGGAACTGAGGCAAGTACTAGTGGGAGACCTATCGTCTTACACCCACGTTATCAAGGGGCATAGTGGTAAGCTGCACTTTCTGAGCCGTTCTGCAGCTACTAGTGTCTCTTCTTGTATATATTTTCATTCTGTCTATTTTTATTTCAGACAATATTTGAAATTTTGTATAATCTACTAGATGCTCATACATTTGTGACACCAGGTCCTGGCACACACATTGGTAGAATTTGGATTTTATTATTTTCTTGGTTTTAAATTTTGTCAGTATATGCTTAATTTATTAAGTTGGCTTGCCTAGCTGTAGTGTTGGGCGCCATCACGATCTATAGGTGAAATTGGATCGTGACAATTATAGGTTTTTTTTAGACCTGAAACTAAATATATATGGAAAACAAACATGAATTATTTTTCTAGATATAGATGATTTTTGGTGTTATTAACATAACGACGACGTTGGAAATTGGAATATAAACTTAGACTCTAAATATGATTTTTATCCTCCAAACGTTTTTCCTGGTTGAAATATAGTTGTTCCCCAGTGGGTACTATTGTCATCGTGCTTGTTGTTTCGGGGGAATTAAATGTCAGTCATATTACTATAATACGTAATTTTGAACATAAAACCACTGATTATTTTGTACAACATTATACGATTCTAAATGCGAACAAGTTTCAATTATAAATAAGAAAAAAGCTATTCGAGAGCTAATATACCTGTCGAGAAGTTTGTTAAAAACTTAACTTTTTTTTAGCAGCAGTACAAAGCTTAAGATGGAGAATTTGGAAAAGTGACCTCTATTATAAAAGTGTTTTGGCACTTCCTTTTTCAAAAGGGATACATGCAATAAGTCAAAATCAGGTTGAACTGTGAATAACTATAGTTCAAATAGAAAAAGGAAAGGAGTCAAGTTCTAGCTGTAAAGTATGGGTGTTTAACAGGCGGGTTGGGACGGGCTGGACACAAAATAAAATTAGCCCGTCCGTTTAATGTTGCGGGCTGAGTTAGCGGGCTATACTTTTTCGAGTTTTTTTTTGTCCGTCCGGGTTCAGGCTTATCGGGTTGTTAGCGGGCTGTGGATTTTTTTTTTTAAAGTAAATTTTATTTTTCTTATTCAATGTTATTGATACTTAAGTGTTTGCAAACTTCTAAGACTTAGAATTAAACTTTAAAATTTAAATTTTATAATGTTAAAATTAAAATTTGAAAGTAAGTGGCTATAAAAAATTATTTAACNGACTTTTGCAAGTAGAATTGAAGTTCATCAATATTCCTGCTACTGGTTTGTTGATGCTCCCATATTGTAGACCAAATCAAATAATCTTCAACACCATCATTATCATCCAAAGAACTGGTCCCAGATGTTGAAACTGAACTTGAAGGAATATTTGCATCTACAGCAGAAGAAGTATCAACAATGTTAGCATAATAATTATATAACATTTCTAAATGTTTGTGTAGATCAGAAATACAAGTGTCAATATCAGGAGTTTTAGTTAGTCCAATATCCATATAAGAATATAAAGCAGTGATTAATTGGCGACAAGTGGCCATTTTGATAGAAGGGTCTAAAATAGCACTAATTAGGTAAATAGGGGGAATTGGGTAAAAATATTTTTTAAAGTTATCTAGCATAGATTCAACAATAGAAGTATATCCTTCTTTCTTTTTCAAATTATGTAGTAAAAGAGAAATTTCAGCAATATGAACTAAACCATTTGCAATAGTAGGATAATAAGCTCCAGAAAACTCAAGTGTAGCCACATAAAATTTTTGTAAAAACTTTACAACATCTTCAATGACATCCCAAGTTCTAGATGCTAACAAACGGCTAGAATCGGTACAATGAGAATTAGCAACTTCAGTTATAGGCATTCTATATTTATAATAATATTTTAAGAATAAATAAGCATAATTCCACCTAGTAACTATTTCATCAGGCATGCGTCTTGGTTTTAGTCCATAGTGTAGACATTTTTCTTTAAATGCATTTAATCTAGCACTTCTATTATTTCCTTGAATTACACCAACGGCTCTTCTAACTAAAGTGATATGATCTCTAAATAATTCAAGGTCACTCTTCACAATCAAATTATAAATATGACATGCACATCTAACATGAAATATTTCAGAAAGTGGTGAGTGTAGATGCAATTTTAATATTGTAATAGCAACATTGTTGTTAGAAGCATTATCAAATGACACACACAAAACCTTTTCAGCAAGATTATAAAATATAGCAACTTCATGAATAGTATTACTTATAAATGCACCAGTATGACTTTGATCTTCATCATATTTAAAAGCAATAATACGTTTTTGCATACAAAAATTACCATCTATCCAATGGAATGTAACAGTCAAATAATCGTTACCATTTACAGCACGACCAGTATCAGAAGTAAGAGAAATTCTACAAGAAAGATTGGCGAACAAATAACGTATATATGTCTGATATTGTCCAAAAAGCCTAAAGATATCAGCTCTACAAGTACTTCTAGGAATACTTTTAAACAAAGGGTTATAAATTCTTTGAATATAAGTAACAAGATATGGTGAAGCAGCAAAACTAAAAGGTAAACAACCTAAAACAATCATTTTAGCTAATTCTTTCTGATCTTTCTTAATATCGTATTTACCCATTAACCCTCCAGTACCCGAGTTTAGTTTTTGTTGCCCATCTTCCTCATCTACTCCCCAATCAAGAGGGTGGTTGTCTACTATGTGCCTATGAAGTTGACCCGTTCTCCCTCCCTTACCGGTCTCATGTTTATAAATATCCTTACAAATTTTACATCTTACATAATTTTTATCTTTTTCTAGTCTGTCAAAAAAATTCTAACACTTACTTCTTAATCTTCGATTCTTCTTAATAGGTAGGGGAGGCCTACTTGTATTACCACGACTTCCACCCCTAATATTTTGAGTTTGACTAGCATTACCAGGTGTAGCTGGTGGTGTTTCAAGATTATCAGGTGATGAAAATGGAATATCATCTAAATTATCATCTAAATCATCATCTATACCATAATTTTATTGAAGTCCATCATAATCTACATTTAAATTTTCATGCGAACTTTCAGAAATATGTGTAAAGCTACTAGAAGAACAAGCACCATCTCTCGATCTTTTGGAAGTTTTCTTACTACCATCTCTGCTACTGCACGCTTTTTTGGCTGCTCTAAATATATCCATTATGTAAATTAAATTAATAATTGTAAATAATAAAATAAATGTACACCAAAGAAGAGAAAGATATAGAACGAGTGTACCGGGATTCCGGATGCCGCACTAAATTTGATATCAAAAACCAAACTTCAATTGATAGATCGATACTTGATTGTTGATACCACACTTCACTTGAATACTTGATATTTGATAATAATAATTTTGTAATGGCTAAACTAAATATTTGATGAAACTTGAAATAATAAGTAATTGAGAATTTAAGAACAATAATCAATAATATCAGGAGAGAATTAGAGCAGTAAGAGAGTGAATTGTGAGGAAATATGAAGAAGAAGGGGGACTATTTATAGTTTTTAAAAGGTTAAAATTATAATTTATCAAATACTAGGGGTGTGGGGGCTATTTTCTTAAGAGGGTAGGCCGAAATGACCATTTCTGCAAAAAAAAAAAGGCCGTTGGCCAACGGTCATATTTGAATTTGACCGTTGGCAACGGTCAAATTTTTTTTTTTTAAAAAAAAAATGTTAAAAATCGGGCTGAACCGGGCTGTAGCCCGTTAACAACCCGTTAACGGGTTAACGGGCTTAGCGAGTTCCGGTGCACCGGTATCAAAAAACTGTTCGTTTGATACCCGCTCCCCGCCCAACCCGTCCCAGCCCGCCCCCACGCTATAGTACTGGGCTGAACCGGGTTGTAAACGGGTCAGCCCGCCTCGATTAACAGGTATACTGTAAAGTATACTATCTAGTCTTGTTGTCCACTTAGAATTAGGATTGCTGCAGTATTGGCGTCCAAAAAAAATCAATGTAAAAGACTTTGATATCCAAAACTAAAAATTATGATGAAAAATAAAGAAGCACAATATAAAAATAATTACAGCAAATATTAAGATATCATTGTTTTTCTCTCTAATCCATATACATGACCTAAAACTATTATTCAATGACGAAAAAAAGGGACAATAGAGAGAACTAATAATACCTTTGGAGAAAATTGCTTCTTTCTACGTCAATACCTTTAGAAAATAATGAATAATGTGGAACAATGATATCTTTTATAAGAATAACTGGCTTATTCTTTTTCTACGTGGATTCATGTAATAAATTCTAATCCTATGCAAACGGGGGAAGATTAAATAAGGAAGCATATTATTGTCAAAAAAGGAATAGGCTAGCAAAAAAAGTAGGTGGTGATGAGTAGAGTCCAAAAATCCAAATCTGCCATATTGTTGTCCAACAAGCAAGAAGAAGTATGCAACGAGAAGAAAGTCGAGAAAAAAAAAGAATTTGACCCAAAGTCGTCTATCTAGGGTTAGGGTTGGTGTATGCGTAGTTTAAATGGAAACAAAAATCAACCTCGGGTGATTTATAATTATAATCTTAAATTATACAAATATTTAAGGTAATAAAAGTCGACCAATATTTCGAGATTATTTTAATCGTTCAATATTTAGCATAAATTATTCATACTTTTATAATAATATAAATAAGTTAATTTTTCAAGAATCAATTCTATTTAGGGATGACTTCTCGCCTTTTAAATAAATAAATAAAATATAGATTTCTTTCCCTGTCTCCATCATTATTTTCCTTATTTTTTTTCTTTACCCGTTGATTCCTCTATCTTCTAAACACAATCCTTTCGAATCCCTCTTTTCCATAAATTCTCAATCTCCCCAACGGCTCTTTTGATTATTTACATATGCTATTTATGTCAGAATCTCATTTGATATCAAGGGGGGAGACGAGTACTGACTCACGGCTCCATCTCTCGATACAGATGGTTAAACAAAAGAAAGAAAGAAAGAAAGAAGGAAAGAAAGAAAGAAGACAGCCATCTGGGACATTTTTATCAACTCTATTGCTCCTCCATCGATCTCTACCAGTCTCTTGCCTCAACGGCATCCCCGCTATCCTTCATTTTCTTCAACTTCTCCGCTTATCTTCACCATCTTATTAATCTCCTTTATCACTGTTTGCCATTGCACTCACCTGCATTAAAAACTTGCTTGGAATCCGATTTCATAATTATATCACTTGCTGCAATTCATGTCGCTGCGTCGTTGTGCGGCCGATGAGGTTTTGAGAAAATGCTCAGAGATGTCTCTGTTCCGCCATTGTTGTTGCTGTATAATTCTCCTGTAAATATGCAGTGCGGGATTGATGGCTTTCTGTATTCGTTGTCACGAGTTCAAAGGTACGGCTCTACTTCCCTTAAATTCCCCCCCATATTACTCTATGCTCGTTTGATTAATATGAGTAAACTATATGCGATTTTCCTGGTATTTTTGCTTTGTAAAACCTGTTTGATGGTAATTGCGCTTATGTGTTAAGGTTTTTGTGGTGATCGCTACAGCGTATTTATGTTGTATGAATAACTTTTTTTTTTAAACCTTGTGTGCATGTTGTTTCAGTGTTTCATGCTTGTTTATGTGCTATTCTCGATCGCTCTATTAGGTTCAAGGGCATGTATCATTTTTGTAATTTTAGTTAATGAGAATCCGATTTGTTAAAACTAAGTAGGAATATTTAAGTTGATTTTAAGAAATGACTTTATAAAGCTAGTTTATATGTTTCTATGTATCTACTTTTGTTTTCACTAGTTGATGGTGCTCTCTGTATAGCTCATTTAAAACCAAAAAAAATCTTTAAAAAGTTCATTAGGATATATCTAAATGTCATCTCTTTGCTTCTTTTATTTGAGACTAGATAAATATGGTAAGTTTGTTTCTATTTTCAAATCTCTATTCAGCAACACGTCTAGAAACAATATTTAGCATCAATCTGATTAGTCGTTCTAGTTCAACCTCTGCATGTATTTACTTTTGTGCTAAATGTGTGTGAGCCCTCTCTAAGTTAATCAATAATTTGTGAGGGGCTAAGGACTTTGAGGTCAAGTCCTCAAACCAGTATACAACTGTATTGTTTTTTAAAGTGACTAGGACGGTCTTTCTTTTTAAAAAAATTTTATTATTAAATTGATCTTCTTCACTGTAAAAATATTTGCTTATTATGTGAACTCGTTGTGACACTTGTAAGTCCAGTCGTTTAATTCTACTTGCTTGATACTCGTTTCCGAACTATAATAACTGTCACAATGTCATGCCTATAAGGTGGCGCATATTTTTTCACTAACGTATTTTTATGTTGGGGGGAGTCGCAAATACCTAGTAAGATGCTTATTTTAAAGCGCTTGGATTGAGGTCAGTCATTTATTTTTGCTCGTTCTTGCACTCTCAATATTTTATTATGAACTTATTTGATATTTGTCCGCATGTTTATTCTATTCTTTTTTACTATTCAATTTATCTCTACGTGATCTTTAGTTTAAAACTTAGAATTGGCATCTAGTTGGCAGTTAAATACTTATTGTATGATTGTATCACCTATGGCCTTATTACATATAGTAAAGACCGTAATGTGAAAAACATAGGTTTTGCATCTAGTTTAATTTAATTCTCTTTGGGGAAAAATAAGATTTGACATCTAGCTTGCAAGCCTCGAAAATTAGAAACTTGGTTTATTTAATTCTTTATTTATGATTAATAATTAATAAACTCAATAATTCCCACATAGTTTAAAATTCGGTCGGGAACCACAGTTGTGGACCACATAGTAATTTGAGCTCTTACCCGATTTTTGATGACGTAGACTAGTTAAATCAGAGTCATTTGCAAATAGGTGCCCTAACACACCTTAAAAATCGTAAGGTGGCTCTTTTAATACCATTTAAAAAGAGTTGTCACGCGTCGAATTAGTTAGTTTCTTTACTTCCACATCAACTGCTTAATGCTCCTAATTATCTTGTCCCTTGCTTTATTGTTTTGTACTTCAAATTAAGTTCTGAAACTGAATCTTAAACCGATGTGTTTACACAAAATTATATTAGTTCACCATAATTAAGTGATATATTGTAAGTGATAAAAGTGCATATAAAAGACACGTGTCATGTGTTTGTTAGTTTTGTCCACACACCATATGTAACTAAGTTTTTATATGTACACCAGATCATATTAGTTAATCATGATTAAGTGATATATGAATTGTACAACTTTAAGTGTAGTTACGATTTTGTACTTACAATATGTATTTTATAATTTGTAGTACTTATATACATTACAGAGGTACACTACAACTGAAACAAGTCTATTGATTTACTCACAAAATCTTCAACTAATCAATTTGTAGTACCAATGAGTGAAGTAGAATGTGTGTAGTACACTATATAATTTGTACTTTATTATTGACAAAGACATTACATATTATACAAAGTTATTGTCCTAGAAGTACCAGTACAATTGTAGTACTGTGTTGTACAATTCCACACCTTTAAAATCTCCCCCTTATGTGTCTTCAAAATCAACATAATTTGCCACAAAAGTTCTAAGTGTTTTATATAAATAGGTGGAAATGTTCAACAGGGGCAACGTGAGATCATATGTACCACATTTTTTGTTTTTGATAATTTTAGTAATTGTAATACATATGTTCTCAGGTCGGCCCTGTAGAACTATTTTCCATCGTACTATTTGATAAGATTCTTGATCGAGATTGTTGGTGTCGGCAATGCTGGATTTAAAGGATTGATCAAGGTGAGTTTAAGGATGAGTGATTTCTCTCTATTAACCCCAAATTGCATGTTAGAAAAAATTGTTTCCTTATCAACAATTTGACGAGATTCGTATCCCAGATTATTCTTTGNATTTGGCTAGCGAAATAATTATATTTAGCCGATTGGTCAAATGTATAATTTACCCCTTTTTCTTTTGTATCTTCTTGTTTCCCTTGGTAATATTTCCTCCCAATATTGGGCTAGTTCCCTTTTGTAATGGGTGAAAGCAAGTTTATGGCCGAATATAGGCTTATATTTGGGTTTAAGCCCAATTATTACCAGAGGCATGATAAAAAATTACAGACTTATTGCTTTCTTCATTTTCCCTTTGAACTTTTTAAATAAAAATTAGAAAATTAATAAAAATTGTAAGCTGATTAGTTCATAAATCAGTTACACTGGGATTATAGTGCATAATTATATATGCAAGATTAATAATACTCAGTATGGCTAGCATTAATATTAGATATCCGATATTGTATGAAGTGTAAGATAATATTTAAATTGAATTATAAATCATACCGGTATTAGCTATAGCGAGAAAAAAATGACAATCAAACAAATGATAAATGATCTCTCACAGTGTAAAATATTTTTGTATTAGTATAATTGCAATTTACTGTCTCTAACATATCATTTTTGCTATCTTTTGCAGGTTAACCATTACTAATATTTATTATACAAAATTACTTGCAATTAGATTTTAAATTATGTAATAGTGTGAAATTCTATATATCTTACATTATCCTAAAAATAGTTTCTTATTTATTATTCCAAAAAAGTTAGAAGATTTCAAATGCCCAGAATTTACTTTACAAAAACTCTCTGTAGTAGCGAGTAGCGACAGGTAAAAGATGCGCTTTAAGGCGTATAAAACGTATTTACTCAAATTAGAAGTCGCATTTATCAATTGCGATTTATACTTCCCACTCCAAAAGTTAACATTTTCGACTCTATAAACCAACTAGATGATGTACCCGTGCATGCCCGTGCCCAATTGTTACTTTTTCTTCTTGTTGTTTCTTCCTTTTAATATTTCTTGGTATGTTGCTAATTACACACTTTCTACGCCTTTAGGGAAAGAAGAAAGAGAATAGGCTTTTGTGTAATAATGTGTAGAACCACGATTACCTTATTGTTATTTATCTTTTGCATTATGTGCATTTTAATTTTTCTGAAATCGTATTACGATACCAATCACTTTGTAATACTTGTCGAAGTTTGATACTTTATCATACAATAATTAGATAATAATTCAAGTACAATTTTAAATTATTTCTACATAGGGTCTACGCTTTTTGAGCCTAGTATACAAGCAAACAATGCACTAATATATTTAAAATGACCATTATGCCCTTGGTCGACCTCCTCTTCTCTCTTCTATACAAGCAAACAATGTACTAATATATTTAAAATGACCATTATGCCCTTGGTCGACCTCCTCTTCTCTCTTCTATACAAGCAAACAATGTACTAATATATTTAAAATGACCATTATGCCCTTGGTCGACCTCCTCTTCTCTCTTCTATACAAGCAAACAATGTACTAATATATTTAAAATGACCATTATGCCCTTGGTCGACCTCCTCTTCTCTCTTCGATATAATAGACTAGTTGGAGATAGCCTGGACTGAGCCCGGGCCCAAGACCTTATTAGTTTTTGATTTAACGTAAAGAAATTCTCTTCACTGACCGCGAAACAAATATGAACAAATATCATACAATGTGATTCAAAATGTTGCAAAACTAAGAACACAACTGATTAACTTTTAAGTTGCATCAAAAGTAAAATTGAAATTAAACAAATCAAAAGTATATTGTGCAAGTATCTAAATCAATATGTAATTCTTCTTGCTGCTGCAATTCTACAAGCTGGATTAAGTCCCTAATAGTTTTTGTGCTCTTAGAAAGCAGAATATTTTTGTCTTTATATTCGAGACGACAAGTTGATCTAGATAATGCAAAAGTAAAATAAGTATTAGCACGTGTGTAAATCATCAGAATTGGCGAAAGTAGAAGGTAGCTCGTGTGAATAAAATGAAAGCATCAAGAGCTTTCTCCTAAACTGGTGCAGTTGAATCTATTACGGTCTTCCTACAAAATGGCCCTAAATATTTTCAAAAAGATGAAAGTCTATTCAACTAACATATCAATATACAGATCACCTCCAAACCACTCGTATCTATTCAAAAATGACTCAATAATATTAAATATTCCTAAAGGAATCAATTATTTTTCATAAATTAAATTTTCCAAATTTTTCTCCAAAAAGTCAAAAAATCGACCCCGGGCCCGCTTGGTCAAAACTCGAGGTTCAGACCAAAATTCTTTTACCCAATTACCCCCGAGCCCGAATATGTAATTAGTTTTGGAATCCGACCTCAAATTGAGGTCTAAATCCCCAAATTTCCGAAATTCCTAGTTTCTACCATAACCCCTAATTCTACCATGAAAACTCTAGATTTTAGGTTGCAAAAATTCAAAAAATGTAATGGGTTTAGAAAGAAAATGGTTTAGAATCATTTATCAACAATTTGAGGAAGAAATGGCTCTTGAAAAATCGCCTCTCACCGTATGGTTTTTGAGAAAATAAATTTTTGGCTAAAATCCCGTTTTTGGATTCTGTTAAGTGTTGGACGACAGTGTTCATCGCGTTCGCGAAGGGTACTGGCTGCCAAGCCTACGCATTCGCGAGACCCAGCTCACGTTCACGATGGTTACTCCCCCTGGCCTTCGCGTTCGCAAGGCATTGCTCGCGTTCGCGATGAAAGAACGACTGACTCCCCCTCCCCAATGCCTAACACTACGTGTTCGCGATGGGCTTGTCGCGTTTGCGAAGAAGAAATCTTCAGCTGCCCAGTTTACTCTTCGCGTTCGCGAGAGTACCTTCGTGAATGCGAAGAAGGACATGCCAGAACACCTGCTGCAGCAAAATACCAGATTTCCAAAGTCCAAAACATCTTGTGGCCTATCCGAAACTCACCCGAGCCCTCGGAGCTCCAAACCAAACATGCACACTAGTCTAAAAACATCATACGAACTTGCTCGCATGATCAAATTACCAAAATAACACCTAGAACTATGAATTTAGCACAAAATCAAATAAAATTCTCAAGAACACTTTAAAATTTCTATTTTCTCAACTGGACGTCCGAATCACGTCAAATTAACTCTGTTTCTCACCAAATTTCACAAACAAGTCTTAAATATCATAATGAACCTGTACCAGATTTCGAAACCAGAATACGGACCTGACACTAATAATGCCAAACATCAATCAATTCTTAAAAATAATTAATTTTCAGACTTTTAATTTTCATAAAAAATTCATAACTTGAGCTAGGGATCTCCGAATTCGATTTCGGGCATACGCCCAAGTCCCATAATTCGATACGGATCCACCGGGACCGTCAAAACATGGATCCGGGTCTGTTTACCAAAAATATTGACCAAAGTCAACTAAAATCAACTTGTAAGGCATAAATTCTTATTTTCATCAATTTTCAACATAAAAGCTTTTCGGAAACCTGGTCGGACTGCGCACGCAAATTGAGGAGGGTAAAAATAAGATTTTTAAGGCTTAAGAGCTCAAATTTGAATTCTAAAACATAAGATGACCTTTTGGGTCATCACACATAGAAACATGAAACACTGAGTGAACACCTAATAGACTAGGTGACAATGCAAGTTTGTAAGCCACATCTCCCACTCTTTCAAGCACCTCAAAAAGACCAATATACTGAGGGATCAACTTGCCCTTCTTCCCAAACCTCATCACACCCTTCATAGGTGAAACGTTTGAGCAAAACCTTCTCATCTACCATAAAAGAAACATTACGAACCTTCCTATCAGCATAACTCTTCTGCCTAGAGTGTTCTATACGAAGACACTCCTGAATCACCTTCACCTTTTCCAAGGCATCACGGACTAAATCAATGCCCAACAACCTAGCCTCCCCAGGACTAAACCAACCAACCAGAGAACGACATCTCCGTCAATATAAGGCCTCATAAGGAGTCATCTGGATACTCAATCGGAAACTGTTGTTCTAGGAAAACTCTGTGAGTGTTAGAGACTGGTCCCATGCACCTCCAAAATCAATAACACAGGCATGTAACATATCCTCCAAGATCTGAATGGTGTGCTCGAACTGTCCGTCCGTCTGAGGATGGAATGATGTACTCAACTCGACCCATGTGCCCAACTTTTGCTGCACCGCTCTCCAAAACTGCGATGTGAACTGAGTGCCTCGATCTGAGATAATAAATACGGGTATATCACGAAGGCGAACAATCTTTATGAATGTAAATCTGAGTCTATTGCTCTGAAGAATAGGTGGTCATCTCTGGAATAAAGTATATGGACTTAGTCAACCGGTCGCGAGAAAATGGGGCGCGACACTCACAAGCAAAAAAGAGGTACAAAGATTAACAAGTAGAGTAGCAGCTTTGGGAAGATTTATAGCCAAATCTAATTATAAGATATGCAATAAAGTGTTATCTAATTACTAACAATGACGCTGAGTATGAAGCTGTGATTGCGGGTTTAGAACTCGCGAGAGAGCTTGGTATTGAACACATCATAATCAAAAGCGACTCGCAACTGGTAGTAAACCAAATGCAAGGAACTTACGTGGCTAGAGAGACACGAATGCAGCAATTACCTAGAAAAGGTATGAGAATTACTAAGGCAGTTCCAGACTTGGAAAGTTATACGTACATACCCAGGGAAGAAAATGCACAAGCTGATGCATTGGCAAACCTAGCATCCGTGGCTGATGTGTCAAATGCAGAAAATGCAATTGTGGTACACTTGTTCCATTCAGCTCTAAAGCAAACCAAGAATGAGGTAAATTTCTATAATTTAACTTGGGATTAGAGAAATGAGTTTGTAAATTATTTGCAGAATGGAATTTTGGGTTAGGATAAAAAGAAATCCCAATTGCTACGATTGAAGGCTGCTTAGTATTGCCTAATATAGGGGACTTTGTATCGTAAAATGTTTGGAGGACCTTTAGCACGGTGCCTGGGACCTTCGCAAACTGAATATGTAATGAGAGAAGTGCATGAGGGACATTGCGGTAATCATGCCGAGGGAAGATCGTTGGTGAAAATATTGATAAGAGCAAGATACTATTGGCCAAAAATGAAAGATGAAGCGGAAAATGAGCATACGAGTTGGAAACTATAGACGACAATGTGTAACCATCCCATTGGAATGCAGTCCATTTTACTTTGCTCATTTAAGTTTTACTAACTATTTTAGATGATAGGAAAAAAGCTAGCCCGGCCAGATAATGACATTAGACCCGAAAGACACGCAAACTACTTAATTATTTCAGGTATAGGTTATAACAATTTTGATGGCAAGGGTTAAACAGTTATCATCTAAAAAGTTACCTTTGAGTCCCATGCGTATTTTCTTTTTCAGGGAAAGGACCAAAGTAAGGAGTTGATCCAGTATTCAAGATTTCATGCTTCAATACTCAAACACTGGGGGGAATATGCATATGAAGAAGTACACAAAGAAATAAGATATACACCACAAAAGCATAGCTTAGCCAAAGGAAAAACCTTTAAGGAAATGTCAAATTTTCAAGCTCGCAGAAAGAATGGGCAGTAAAGAGTTGAAGAACCTGCAGAAAACTCCCACGAGCTTTTAGGTTAAGGACATAAATTTAGTCACGTGAAATTATACCCGTACTTGTATACCTGCTATAAATAAAGCTATTATGAAAATGTTGTACATAAATACTTATTGAAAGTTCAAAATAAAACTTCTTCAAATTACTTCATATTTCATATCTTTACACCAATATGAAGATGAGACATTATCTTCATATAGTGTTGTTTATATAGAAGGGCCCTCTTTTATAAAAAAGAAAACTCGTGCATATGAAGATGCGGTCTCTATTAAAGCATTTTGAATGCAAGTAAAAGCTTGAAAACTTAAAGAGAAAAAAGGCATAATATAAGGTATGCAACGAAATGATATTAATGTCAGCATCCCAAAAACAAGAAGGGAAAAACTTCCCAAAAACCACTTTGAAGCAAAAATAAAATGTTTCAACAAATACCAACAAAAGTAAATTTCTAAGGTAAAGGGTGAAAAAACAAAGGATCATCATCATCTGGGGTAGAAGGATCAACTTGAGAAGACGAAGGTTGGGCATCTGCTTGACCAGGGGCGAGGCCATCTCTATCACCTTTGGAATTTTCGTCCTTGGGTATTGAGAAACTTTGACGTTTCTGAGTTTTTTCAATTTCCTCTCTAGATTTGGCAATTTTAGCTTCGAGATTAAAACCCTCCTGGTGAGCCTCGATCAAAGTCTCGAGATGGGTATTCAGAAAAGCTCAGCTAACATCAAGTGTTAGTTTGTCTTCAAGAGCTTTGTAGTCTTTTTCCAGTTGTTTAATCTCAACCCTCAAGTCTTCTTTGTCAGCTTCCGAAGCTTCATAGGATGCCTTCAAAGGTTCAAGAGAGCCCTCGAGAAACTTGATTTTATCAGAAGAGGCATGGAGATCCTCTTGAGATTGGGCGAGCATCTAAACTAAATCACCAGCATACACCTCCTTCTCTTTCAAGCTCTTAATCTCCTCAGTTGCCTTTGAATGCTGCTCAGCAAAGAAAGATTCTAATCTGTCCTTATTATTTTCAACTTGATTGGAAGAGGCATTTAAAACCGCCAACTCATCGGTGGTTATCTTCAGTTATTGCTCTAAAGCCCCTTTTTCTCCGGCAAAAATGTCCTTTTCAAGTTGAAGGCTTTCAAACTGTTCCTTCCATTTGTGAGCTTCAGAATGCAGCTCAATCATTTGCCGATCAATCTAGGATACCCTTCTCATTAGCTCCGTACTTGTTAAATTGATCTGCAAAAAGACAAAGTAAAAAAGCTATAAACCTAGAAAAAAAGGAAGAAATTTAATGGAAGAAGGATATACCTTAAGGGCGGAATGAACAACGTCATTCATTAAGGTCAAAGAGTTGTGAGACTCAAGCTTCTCCCTCTTCACAGGGCCAATCAATTATTTCAAACATACTGCAGCTCGGCTAGATTTCTTTAACAGATTACCACTATCGGGGACTTCAATCAACACATTCTTCATGATTTGTCTCTCGCTAGAAGGATCACATTCTTCACGAGAGGCAGCAACATGTGCGGTAACATGAACAGATGCAGGTATGGTGGCAGAAGAAATGGGAGGATTAACGACAAGAGCAACTGGGGTCATTGAAAGAGAAGCAAGTGGTGGCTCTTCAGCAACAGGGCCAAAATCTTCATCACCCTCGAATCCTTGGGTGAAAAGTCTATCAACAAGACTTGAGGGGGGATTGCCAAAATGGTCAACATCTTTATCTTCAGATATGTCCAAATGGACACTCTCTGGTTCATCAACAAGGTTGAAAGGCACGAAGCCTGAAGGTAGGTCTTAAGGAACGGTGGCTTCATCATCAAGAACCACACGTCTTCTAACTCGTGGCTTCCTCACTAAAGAGACATCTTCATTATCTTCTTCTTATCTTCTTCTTCAGAGTCACGAGCTTCAGCATTCTTCCTCTTAGAAGAGGACACTCTTAGATTTTATTCTTATGCAATGCTAACAGAGAGCCTGGCATTAGGAACAGAAGCAGACCTGATGCCACGAATATTAAACCCTAGAAACAAAACAAAAGGGGGGAGGGGGGGTTAAAGCAAAAGAAGAAACATTAAAGGAAAAACCATGGTAATAAAGAATGTCGTGGATCTTCACTTTCCATCCAAACTTCTTGGAAATAAATTTTCATGATCTTTGTTCCATGGGGGTAGTAGTTAATATTTTTTCTACCCAATCACGAAAGTCAGGAATTTCTCCGAAAACCTCCATGATTGCTGAAAAGTAAATAGAAACGCGTGTAAGAAAGATTGAAATCTTAAGGGAAGCAAAAAAGTAAAGAAACATACTCACGTGCAAAGTTTCACTTCTCAAGGAATGACATATTTTCGTCACCCACTAAGTCATGAGTGGGAACAGTTACGAATCGGGCACACCAGCCACGGTCACGGTCATCCTCAGAGCCGACTAAAACTCTCTTGCTTCTTGCCACAAGAGAGAAAACACCTTCTCGAAAGATCTTCAGGGAGTATAGATGGAGTAAGTGTTGAAAAGTAAAAGGAGTTGAGACCAAATTTGATAAATAACGAAGGCAAGCTACTACCCTCCATATAATCAGACCTATTTGACCAAGATAGACATTGAAGTAACGGCAAAATTCAATGATTACTGGGTCGATAGGAGGATTGAATCCTAAAGTAAAAGGGTAGGTATAAACAAACGAATAACCTTCACGATAAGAGGTAATTTGATCATTAGCACTAGGGGTAGCCACTAGGAAGTTAGGTTTCCAATGAAAACCAGAAGTGATCAAAGTAGGGTAATGATCCTGCATTGGTTCATTATGATCTTTCCCTCTAGTGGAAGATCTTGGAGTTGTTGAAGTTCTTACTCTAGAAGAAGAGGGTTTTGCAGTGTTCTTCTGGGAAGAGGTAGAGCTACGGTTAGATAAAAAACCTAAGCTATGAAGTCTACCGCCTCTTCTACTCCTAGTTGGGGCAGAAGAGGGAGGAAGTTCATTAACAATAACTACCTTACAAGGGTCTGATGATGAAGACGGGTTTGAAGAACGGGAAGTCATCTTTAATGGTAAAAATGCGAGGAAAAGAGAAAAAGTGCAGGAAAAGTTAGAATATGAACGCAAGAAAGAAGAAGAAACTTTTAAATTGCATATGATACGGTATTTATAGGAAAGGACCGTCATCAGGAACCGTCATTATGAACTGTCATCATAGAACCGTCACTTCAAACTAACCTAGCTACAGAAAACCTTAAAAAGATGCTAAAAATTGCAGAGCCAACTACAACAGGACACGTGTCCTAGGCATTAAATAGAAAGGACGTATGTCTCATCGTTTTTGAAAAAAGCATTATGATAGTTGGGAAGAGGCGGCAAGACATTCCCGCTATAAATGAACTTACCACTTCCCGAATATTCAGTTGAGAATATTCAGAAAATGGGGGGGGGGACTATCTGTATTGGTGAAAAAAAAAGACATGACACGTGGATTAATAGCATGGTGACAGGTGACACTTAAATTGGGTCAATAAAGAAAGATGGAGAGGCATGGATAAAATACACACGATATTTTATCATGGAAAGTACCATACCTGACAACTGGGAAAGAAGAAATAGGCAAGAGATGCATGAAGACCATAAAAGGGGAAGATTCATGAATCAGTATAAATATGAAAAGGGAATCAGCATTAACCCTGATTATGCGTGATCAAATATTATTACCAGAACCGTTACAAGTAAATTTAGTAACGGGCAATTAATGTAATTAAAGTTAGTAACATGTAAGATTTAAGTAAAGGGAACTGTTACAGTTGTATATCCTTATATAAGGACCCTTGCCTCATTTTGTACGATCATCCAAATATTTTTCAATTATATGCAATCAGTCTTTTATTTTACTTGATTGAAGATTTCGATCCGCAATTCTGGGAGAAATCAGCGATCAATAATAAGTTTTCTTTCCTTCATTTATCATTTCAATTGTTTATTCGATTCTCACATTTTTGGGAAAGTGAAGTAAATTTGGTTATCAGTAACCTGATTTTCTTGGCTTTGACCACAAAAACTATTTTTGGGTTAAACAAGCATAGGAATTTTTCAAATAGTCGATTCTACACTTGAGTTTCCAAATGTCCTATTCGTCACCATTGTATTCATTTACAAGACTTTTTTCTAGGTTGATTAAGAATTGAATTGTAAGATAGTTGGGTGATCTTTATATGCAATCTAGCCAAGAATCTGTCCCTATACCCTATTACGAAATATATTCCCAAATATTTCATGATTCAATCTAGATACTTCAGTAGTAAAAATCTTGATTGATGTAGTCATATCAGGCAATTCGCTTGCCAAGTTTCATTAATAAATTTTTTTAATATTAGGGGATTTAACCACATAGATTCAATCCTATATATTATGTTCCCTTGGTATTTTACTTTTTGAGTAACCAAGATGGGGCAATGATCGGAGGAGCTTCTTGTTAGATAAGTTATATTAGCTTATTGATAAGCGCCGATTCAAATATAGTTGGCAAGGCATCGATTCAATCTTTCAAGGATTAGGTTAGTTTGAGTTTCTTCTTTTTGTCAGTCCAAGTGAACTTACTCCCTCTATACCACAAATGTGCCATACTACAATAATCAAACACTACTTAAAGTTGTTAAGTTTGTTACCATTCACAGGTTGGCCTCCAAATTTTCAGCTGCATCAACTTCATTGGTCCAAATTACTCGAGGTGGATTTGGATTTCTTCGTTGTTCCACAGCACTTGTATATTACCAGATAATCTATTTGCTTCACTTAGATTAAGTTTGTGAAGTTGAAACCAGACATAACTATGTCATGGTCGTACAACCTGGTCTCAAAATTTCCTTCTAAAGCCGGGGCTATTAGCACCGTGATAGCTCCAAATGATGAAGTTAATAATTCTTGTTCGATTTGTTGAGTTCTCTTGAAGATTCAGAGAGGAACTCAAGTTTGTTGCTAAGGTGCCCCTATCTTGGCTCGCTGCTTCCTGGTTGTTGCTGGCTCTTCTAGACAAAAATTGGTATTATCACCACAGCACATTGGTGAATTGTCCTGATATTGGGAGAGGATTTCTGAAGGTTCAAAGGGCAGAGTATGTTAGATTGCTGAATTGAGAAGAAGGATTGAAGAACAAAGATGAACTGAGAGAGAGAGAAATGAAGCTTCTCGATATTTTCTCATTCATAATAGAATTTGTACAGTGCACGTGTATATATCCAATTGACTAATGTGACAGCTGTCAACTAACTTATTATGTCTAACTCTAGTTAACTAATAACAACCTACTAACTATAGTTAACTTAAGTAACTTCACAAATAATCTCATTACCCCCCCTCAAGCTAGGTGACATGAAGATGTTCTTCATGTCGAGCTTGGATAACAAATGAGTATGCTGAGGTCTCCCAAGACCCTTAGTGAGAAGGTCTTCTTGTTGATCAGCAGTGGCAAGATACAGAGTACTAATGAGACCATTTTGCACCTTTTCCCGGATGAAGTAGCAATCAATGTCAATGTGTTTGGTGCGCTCGTGAAAGACAGGGTTAGCAACTATCTGAATAGCAGATTTCCTGTCACTGAATACGGGAACAGGCAAGGAAATAGTGACCCCTAAGTCCTTGAACAGTCCAAGTAGACAAACCAATTCAGTTACTGTGGAAGCTAGACTCCTGTATTCAGCTTATGCAGAGCTCCTAGAAATGGTGGCCTGCTTCTTGAACTTCCAAGAAATTAGGGAAAAGCCAAACTTGACCAAATAGCCTGTGACTGACCTCCTAGTATTAGGACATGAGGCCCAATCAGCATCAGAAAATGCAGTGAGAGACTCAGAAAAATCAGCTGACAATAAAACCCCTAGACCAGGGCAGGACTTAACATATTTAACCACCCTGAGTGCAACCTCCCAGTGAGAAGTTTTTGGAGAATGCATGAACTGACTGAGGCAATGGACAACAAAGGAAATATCGGGTCGAGTGATGGTGAGATATAATAATCGCCCAAGTAATCTCTAATAAGGCCCTGGATCATCTAAGGCCTTGTCCTCAACAGAACCAACATGAGTGTCAAATTCAACGGTATTGAGTTTGACATTCAACTCCATGGATGTGACAACAGTCTTGGAACCAGAAAGACCCAAATCAGCAATGAGCTCCAAGGCATACTTCCTCTAGTTCATGAGAATCCCTTCAGCACTTTTAGCAAATTCAATCCCTAAAAAATACTTGAGTTCCCATGAATCCTTGATTTTAAAAGAGGATTGTAGCACATCCTTGGTCTCTTGTATTAACTAAAAGTCATCACCTGTGATGAGCAAATCGTCAACATAAACCAAAACTACAACTATCTTCCTTTCCACTTTCTTAATAAAAAGAGAGTAATCGAGATGACTTTGTTGAAAGCCATAAGAAATTAAAGCAGTGGTCAACTTAATGTTCCAGTGTCGTGAAGCCTGCTTGAGTCCATAAAGTGACTTGAGCACTTTGCAAACTAATGATTTATCTGAAGAACCAGAGTAGCCTTGAGGCACAGTCATGTACACTTCCTCAGAAAGATCTCCTTGTAAAAATGCATTGTAAACATCCATCTGATGCACAATCCAATGCCTAGATGCTACTAGGGATAGAACACTTCTGACAATGACCATGTTAACAACAAGTGAGAAGGTTTCTTGATAATCCAGCCCTTCCTTCTGATTATAACCCTTGGCAACAAGGCGAGCTTTAAACCTCTTCACTTCACCATTGGCCTTATAATTGATATTGTAAACCCATTTGCAACCTATAAACTTCTTGCCCTTGGGTAAAGGAACCAGAGCCCATGTTTTATTGTCCTCCAAAGCTTATATTTCTTCCTGCATTGCCTCCACCCACCTCTTATCCTTAGCAGCTTTATGGTAGGATTGCGGCTCCTCTGCATCAGTGAAATTTGAGAGATAACTCTGATATTTGGAAGACAACAACCCCTCATAATTGACAACATCTGATAAAGGATACTGATAGCAGCTAGCTTGGCTGCCCTTATCTGGTCTCACATAGTGTTTGAGCCATATGGGTGGCCTTGAAACTCTGGTAGATTTCCTGATATCCTCATGTGTGGGAGAGAAAGCTATAGCAACAGGTGTTCCATGTCACAAGCCAGCTCTATGGAGGTTGTTTCTTCAGTGTTGGAGGAAGTAACATCAAGAACTCCATGCTCAAGTGGTCTACATGTCACAGGAGCAACAGGTTGAACAACAGTATAACTGATGCTCCTGGTGTAGACATTTGTTGCACCATTTGCTCTGATGTGGAGACACTGCTGGTGGGAAACATACTATCACCTACATGAGATGATGAAGAAGCATGATCTTCCATGAGAATGTTGTCAGAGTCAGTTGAGAGATTTTGGAGAGGAAATGCATCTTCGTGAAAAATTACATCCCTGTTGATGAACAATTCAGCAGTTTCCAGATTCAACAGTTGATAGCCCTTTTGATGAGGAGCATAACTAAGTAAGACAGACTTCACAGCCCAGGGAAGAAACTTATCTGATCTGGGCAGGTAAGTAGCAAAACACAAATATGCAATGACTCTCATGTGAGATAAAGAAGGTGGCTTGTTGTAAAACATCTCATAAGGTGACTTGTATCCAAGTACAGAAGAGGGAACTCTGTTGATTATATAAACTGTTGTCTCCACACAATGTCCCCAATATTGGATTGGTATATGCCCTTGAAATTTGACAGCTCTGGCTATTTCCAAAATGTGTCGATGCCTCCTTTCCACCACTCCATTTTGCTGAGGAGTGTATGGACAAGAGCTTTGATGTATTATTCCATTGGATTGAAATAGCTCCTTACAACTATTGTTAAAGAATTCACTCCCATTGTCGGACCTAAAAACGTTAACTGTTTTGCCAAATTGTGTCTTAACCATAATCAGGAAATTTTTAGCAAGAAAACAACATCAGATTTAAGTCTCATTAAGAACACCCAAGTCCATCGTGTATAATCATCAACCAAAGTAAAGAAATATTTCATCCCATTGTGAGTAGGAACTCTGCAGGGACCCCAAACATCCATATGAATCAATTTAAAACTATCTATGCTTCTATGGTGACTTATTGGAAATGACAACCTGGTTTGTCTAGATAATGAACAAACTACACATTTATTTAATTGAGGACTTGTACAACTCTTTAGACTATCAATACTCCTGAGTTAACTACTGCAAATGAGTGATGAATCTTCTGTGTTTGATATCCCCCTGTTGTAGACAGGATGTATAAGTCATCTTCCTCCCTACCAATCTCCTTCACCCTCCTAGACATGAAATCCTGGAAGACAGAATGTAGGAAAGAAGCCCATAAAACAATTCAATTCTTTTGTCACTTTAGACATAGACAAAAGGTTGAACCTAAAGGCTGGTACACAAAGAACATGCTGAAGTATATCACCTCCCGTGAGTTGACTGGTCCCTATATGTGTCACTGAGGCTAAGTCACCTGTAGGCAATTGCACTTGTCCTGCTTTTCCTACTAGTGTTTCATTATGTAACAAAACCTTATTACCAGTCATATAATTCGTAGCCCCTGTATCTATGATCCACTCAAAGTTTTTGATGTTATGAAAACTATTACAAAATTAGTTACCTGCCATGTGTGCACTGGCATCATTCCCAATAATTGTTCTGTTCAGTGTTTGCAAAATTTGTGCAACTTGTTCCTGAGTAAACATTTGAGTAGGTGCTGCAGGCAGTGGAGTAGGTCTTGCAGGTGTGTTTGCAGGCATTCTATTTCCCTCCAGTTGAGCTACAGTTGCTTTGCGTTTGGCCTTGAAATCTATCGGATAACCAATGAACTGATAACAATTTTCCTTTAAGTGTCCTGTTTTGCCGCAATGATCACATTTCATTAGCTTGTAACAACCTTCCTTGGTATGCCCTTTCTGGTGGCAAAACTAACATTCCAGATTATAGGTCCTCCTTGGCTTATTGCATGAATGAGCTGTAAACATAGATGTTGGCTCATTGTATCCAGAATTCCCAAAGTTGCTCCCAATCGATCTCCTACTTTCATCTTGAATAACCATTGCATATGCTTGATTAATGGTTGGAACATTAGGCATTAATAGGATCTGTCCTCTAGCTTTCTCAAAACTATCATTTAGACCCATTAAAAATTGCAATAGAAGTTGAAATTCTAATGATCAACATACTCTTTGGAAGATGGTGGTGGGAGGATTGAATCATACTCTGCCCACAAATCCTTCAACTTTGTAAAATATACGGACACGGAGGATGATCCCTGCAGTGATATGAAAATTTCCTTATGTAAATAGTAGAGTCTCGACGCATTTACCTTGTCAAACCTTTCTCTCAATTCAGCCCAAACCGTCTGTGCATTCGAAGAAAACAATACACAAGTGTGTAATTCCTTGCTCACATTACTCATTGGCCATGAAGTAACAATGGCATTACATCTCTCCCATTGATTCCCCAATTCCACACCAAATCAGCTTTGCATGTGGATCCATCAACGAGACAGAGTTTATTTTTTTCTAATAATGCGACTTTCATCACGCGACTCCAGATTGTGTAGTTTTCCATTCCTATCAGCAGCAGTCCGACGGACATCGATCCTGGTCCATCACATGGATGTAGGTAAAGTGGATGATTGTGATAGAGATTCATTGTTCCTCCTCCAGTCGTGATACCAACGCCGATGTTCACGATGGCTCCGCCGAGCTCAGAACTGTTCAAATCTTCCCCAATCGCCATCGCTCACACAGAATTAGGGTTCAGCAAAAAACGATAAAAAATTGAACAAATTCTCTCGACTTTTCTTCAATTCCATGAAAAATCCCTAGAATCATTCAATCATAGCTCTGAATCAGTCAACCACAACTCTGATACCATGTTAGATTGCTGAATTGAGAAGAAGGATTGAAGAACAAAGATGAACTCAGAGAGAGAGAGAAATGAAGCTTCTCGATATTTTCTCATTCATAACAGAATCTGTACAGTGCACGTGTATATATTCAACTGACTAATCTGACAGCTGTCAACTAACTAATTATGTTTAACTCTAGTTAACTAATAAACCTACTAACTATAGTTAACTTAAGTAACTTCACATATAATCTCATTAGATTAAGACGTAAATATTTCCCTGTTTGGTTTGGACACCATGGTTTTAAGCTTCTTCGTTGAGGAATTATATTCTTCTTCCCATGAGGAATTGGTATCATCTGTGTTTGTTCCATCATATTTTGGTTGTCTTGCTGTTGCATGTTGTTGTGGTGCTCTTGGGGTAGGCATCAGTATTGTTTGCTGAGAGCTTCGGGCTGCTTGGCCATGTAGCATTTTCTGGGCATTCTACCATTGTGGTGGAATGAGGGTACGTGCTAGAGCTTAGGGGCTGATGTCGAAGGTAACTTATGGTTTCAACCGAATCCTGTAGCTTTTACGAGAACCATGTATATGTGTTAAAAAATTATCCACTAAATAAGTATAAGTAATAGATTTCATACCCAGTAAATCAATTGTACTGTGGTAGAAACCCGAACCCAAAATGTTCATATTCTAGATCCACCTTTGCTAGAGCTTGTTGGAGTTGTGGCTGGATCGTATTAAATAGGAGAATCCCCATTAGAGGTATTAGTGATAAAGGATTTCACCGTTGGTCGAATCAGCTGGTATTGTTGTTAATAGAATTTATAGTTGGTTCACCACTGTTAACCATGGATTCATCAAAAGGGAAAGTGATCTTGGCACTGTGTGTGTGGGAGTTAGTTTGAGGTGGGGAATCTTCAGATGTTGATAGAAAGGCTGGTTTGTCTTATATTCATTAATGGTTTTCCATTATAGTAATTACTGGGGTAGGGAACTCTGTTTCAAATCACATTGTTTGGTTATTGCTGGTACAGATGATTAGGTAATTGTGTGTTCAAATCATCCGCAGGGGTATTATATGCTGATATGAGTTGCCCATGCTCTACTACAGCATCAAGTTCATATTGTGTATTGTTTTGGTTTGTTAACACGTGATCAAATGCATTGGGGAGCTGTGAGTTAGAATGGTGCAAATATCCATAGCATTAAATGCCATGGATATCGATGATTCTGAATGGTGCAATTTTGGTGAGTCAATTGTTGGAGTGCTTAGCTTCGGATCACTGGAATGTTGTCAATTTGAGGGAGCTCGTTCCTTTTTTCTCATACAGACCTAACTATTGTAACTTCTCTAGTTGGGGATAAAGGGCAATCAGTTATCTTTGTAGGTTGGTACTACTTGGCACATGTTTTGCATATATATATATATATATATATATATATATATATATCTATATATATACCTTGATTGACGGCTGGAGTACTGTTTGATTCCTTCTTACACTACCTTCGAGTAGTGTTCACCAATCAGAATGTGAATTCTTAAGGTTCACAATATGCATATTCTTTGCATACTTCCCCTCGTAGCGGCGTTTCCAGGATTTTAAGAAGATGGGTATACTAAGAGGTAGAACCAGAATTTATATTTGACGGGTTTAACCTGAACATTATCTTTATCATTGAAAATAGGCCATTAAATAAGAAAAAGTAAGAGAAAAAAACAAAAGAAGAGATCACTACTGAGAAGCTTTCAAGAATAATTACAAAGAAACCGAAACAAAAATTCATTTCCAAAGCAACTTCTCAAACTTATTCCTGATTTCAGAGATGGCAGGAGGCTCATGTTTATTTTGCAGATGACTTTCGTCAGAGCACAAAAATAATACCATAATTTAGAGAATAAGTATGAGGATTGGGTTGCTCTAGTGGTGAACACCCTCCACTTCCAACCAAGAGGTTGTGAGTTCGNCCCCCCAAAGCCACATTCAGCAGTTACATCTATCGGAATGCATCCATTTTCTCATCTTGACCATAGTAATGATGCTGTTGAGGAGGGAAATAGCAGCAACTGCTTGTATTTTGAAAGGCCTAAGGTGTTATACAGTTTGAAAATTATGATTCAAGACCGAAATATGACTTTTCCATTCAATGAGAAATCACGACCAAGCCAAGGAACCTCAACAAGAAATGACGCAGATGTAAGTGTTACAAGTCACTGCCACTATCATGACAGTTTGAAGGTTATACCATTTGTTACTTTTTCATCAGAAGGTAGGAAAGAGATGCCAGAGCTGTTGAGAAATAGAATTAGTTTAACCTGATTTTGTTAATAACTGACTTGCTTCTCTTCAGCCATGGCGCTGCACACTTTTCAGGAACACATATTGACAGATATTCAAGTGATTGTAAATTGACTATCATTCTCAAAGTGTNAAACCCCCCAACCCCACCCACGCCGTCCCAACCTTCTTCCTTTGCTTTACAATATTTCACTTGGACAGTAAACCACTACAGATTTGCCTAATTCAAGTGATTGAGGCATGACTGCGACAGGAAAGCGTCAAGAACAAATATATTACTGAACAAGCTAATGCACTGCCCTGCAGACGCTTAATCTTGGTGCTTTTCCCATTTGAGGGGCTTGACAAATTCCCATGTGAAGTCAGGGTCATCGCGTCCAAAGTGACCATATGCAGCGGTTTTCAAGTATCTGTCATTGCCACCCCTCTTCAGATCCAAGTTAATGGCAACCATTCCAGGCCTGAAGTCGAAGTTCTCCTTAACGATCTTCAAAATTTCCTTGTCGGAGACCTTGCCGGTGCCATAGCTGTCAACAAATACAGACAATGGCTCAGGCATACCAATGGCATAAGAAACTTGCACAATGCATCTGCGAGCTAGCCCATTTGCTACAACACTCTTTGCAGCCTGCCTGACAACATATGCGCCACTCCTATCAACCTTGGTTGGGTCCTTTCCCGAGAAGGAACCACCACCATGGGCACCCCAACCACCATAGGTGTCGATGATGATCTTACGACCAGTAAGACCAGCATCACCATGGGGTCCACCAATCACAAATCGGCCAGATGGGTTAATGTGGAATATTGTCTTCTCATCAAGGTACTTCTCAGGAACGACTGGCTTGATGACATGCTCTTTAATATCTTGTGTAATCTCATCATTTGTAACAGTCTCATCATGCTGAGTTGAAATGAGAACAGTGTGGACCCTAACTGGAACCATTGCACCAAACTCATTGTAGTACTCGACAGTAACTTGGGTCTTGCCATCAGGCCTTAACCAGGGACAAGTACCATTCTTGCGGACTTCAGTGAGGCGGGCACCTAGTTTAGTCGCAAGCACATGGCTGAGAGGCATAAATTCAGGGGTCTCGTCAGTGGCATAGCCAAACATGTGCCCCTGATCACCAGCACCAATCTCCTCCGGATGTTTGGTTAGATGGCCATGGACAGCTCGAGCAATATCAGGATCTTGCTGCTCAATGTAGACAAGGACCTTGCAGTTGTCAGCATCGAGTCCCACATCTTCAGAGACAAACCCAATTTTACGACAGGTATTGCGCACAATCTTCTCGTAGTCCACATTGGCCTTGGTTGTGATCTCACCAAAGACCATGACCAAGTTGGTTTTGGTGCAAGTCTCACAGGCAACCTTGCTCTCAGGATCTAGCTCAAGGCAAGCGTCAAGAACTGCATCAGAGATCTGATCACAAAGCTTATCCGGGTGTCCCTCATTTACAGACTCAGAGGTGAAAAGGAAAGTGTCCATTCTGCACTAAAACAGGTCCTATCAGATATAAACCAATACATAAAGTAATACTCACAGATGAAAATAGTAAAATCAGTGTTTCAATTGCTAAAACTCAAGCTAAAGAAAAGTGAACACAGAATTTATCAATAAATGCATCACATCACAAACAGTGTACGGCCTGGAAACTGATACTAAAATTCATAACAAGAGTTATCCAGTTTCTTGAAAGGCCAAATTCCTAGGAACATCTGAAAACAGTGAACAACCAAAGAGATCATTTACAACATATTCTCCAATAAGGGATGTTCCTTCCATAGGTTAAGGATAGTAATTTCAATAACCAAAATAATAAAAGGATGCTAATTTGATCCAACTATGACAAAATTAAAGTACATGGGACCATATCTTCATTTTGTCTCTGTTTAGCTGGACCACCAATTTCTTTTTAGATATAAGAGTGTCTATAGTTTGCGAGCTCAAATTTTTGCAATAAGTATTTGCTTGAGCTGTTTTTGGAAGGAAAAAAAACCAAATCTTGTTGCTAAAACTGAAAAAAGTGAGCTGGCAAACTCAGTTTCTCTTAAGTGATTTTGGAGATAGAAAATAAGGATGTTCAAACCAAACTACAAATAAATAAACACTAAAATTGAGCATAACCTAACCAAAAAAGGTTCATAATATCAGACTTGTGACAGAAAATGAAGGGTCTTACAGAAAAAAGCAGTTTTTCTCCAGTTCAGACAGCAATATTAACAACAGTAGTATAATCCCAACAAAATTTATGAAGCAGTTGTTGCCCTCCAAAATTTCCTTTCCTGTATTAGCACTTTCTAGAAACAGATGAGAAAGGTCAATTACTGGGTAAATGGTAATTCGGCCCTCAATTATATATTCATGTCACGTGCCCTTGCTTTGTGGTCACCAGCCTTGCGACTAACCGTGGACTTCCACTGGAGTTTCCACTTTGTAATCGATGTGACAATCAAAAACAATTTTTTCTCTATTAAGCTCTTCTTAAATGATTTGTACAAATAGAAACAGCTACTCTTAAAATACTTCTTTTGAAACTTTACTGGCAAAAAAAAAAAATGTTATTTCAATTCAGACAAGTTTGTGTTAAAACCGAAAGTAGATGTGCAACGCAGAATATTTCTGTTTCATGGATCTGTCTGTTGATGCGCAGGACATAAACCCCAAAGTTTTATAATCTAAAACTATTTATAAATGATAGATTTTAAAGTTTGAAAATATAGAAACACATTATAAAATTAAAAAAGAAATTTGATTGGCCCACTAGGCATGAAAATAAAATGTGCATAATTATATTATAAGCCACAAAACTCTTTATTATAATAAACATTCTAATATAGTACTGTAAAATATTTTAGAAAATTAAATAATGGCTAAAATGGAAAAATAAATACTCATTTTGTTCCAACTCTCAACTTATAATCCACTTTAGCCCTAGATTCTTTTCCTTTTACCAACCGTCTATGAGCTTTCTCCTCTTCGTTTCTCCCTTATGTGAAAGTCTGAGGCAACTTGTCTGAGTTAAATTCGAAATCTGCCATTGAATCACTTGTTGGTGCTGAAAATCAAATTTGGATTAAAGAATAGCGTTTGTTCATTCAATTCACTGTCACAAGGGGTAGGAAGGACCTCTAGTCTATTAGTATCCCTTGAGTAGTAAAATATATCTTTAATTCATTTTATATATAACTAGCACTAGTCAATATTTAATATCACATATACATGTCTTTCTTCCATAATATAAACCAATCATTCATCATAAATTCAATCCTATTCGAGAATCAAGCACCGAAACAGCTGGAAGGTTGGCTTATAGTTATTCAATACAGATACCTCCCTCTCCTAACCAACCCTTGTACGAAATACCCAATTAGTTTAATTTAGAACATTCGCTACAAAATTCAATTTTTGAGTGACTTTATTTTTTGAGTTGGAATTCTTGAGTTGAAACAACTACGACCATTATTTGCTACCTGAGAAACGGATTTGAGAAGGAAAATTCGTCTGCCGTTGACGAACTTAAATTCGATTACAAAAATGCGGATTCAAAATTTTTGAGTTCGAAATTGTTTGGGTGTTGCATCTTCTTGAAAATTTCTTAGTGAAGCATAAGCCTGAGAAGAGCTCATTTGAAGCTGAATTGATGCACTTTGGTTAGAACATTATGGACAGCCATTGAAACTCATTTATGCTTGAGTTTGGAAATTTGAATTTTTGAAAGTGGAATTTATTTTCAGTTGTTGTTGTTGGATTGGATTAGTTACACTGAAACTCAATTTTTGGATGATTTGACGTAGATTTAGGGTGAAGCTTGAGCTACGGTTCAAAGGAAAATATGAGTTTCTGGCATGTATAACTGTGTGTATATCTATGTATCCACGTGTATTCCATGTGTATCACATGTCCACCCCTTGTGTATTTCTTGAATATTTGTGTATATCCATGTATACATATATGTGATATGTATGGATATACAGTAAACTACATGTGTCACAAAAATATTTTTCCAACACAATTGCAATTACGAATTTTGACTTCAAACTAGTGAGAAATTACCTCAAATCTTCTTCAGATTTTGTCTATTGTCTCATCTATATTTATTTTAACGAATCCAGCCACATCCATTGAAAAAATTCTTTTTTCTCCTAAGTATTTCAAATGTTGCTGTTGTCGAAAAATGGTAAATGATACTTTTGTGGTTATGTCGCTCGTAAACATTTTATTTTTTGGTATGTTTCTGTAGATATCGCATTGTAATATGTAGATTAATAATGCAGGAATTGTAATAGGATTGTTTTTATCAGGATTATTAGTTTATTGTATAAAAAATAAAATATATAGTATATAACCTAAATTTGTATTTGGTTTAAAATTGTGTAAGGGCTTGCAAAGGGGTTTGAGGTGACCCTCAGGGATAGTTTTGTTATTTTGAATGCTTTATTCATATATATATAATTATGGTATTGCTTTGTAATGACATGATTAGTCACTTTGAGTTCTAGTATTTTATTTCGCGATTTGAGACCTTGAGTAAGTTTCTTTGATATTTTATGACTTGCGTGTATGGTTGGTTTTAATTTTCGAGAGGTTCAGGAGTGTTTTGGAAGATAAATTTGTATTTGGAAGCTTTAATTGAAATAGTTGACCAATGTTTGACTTCTATGTAAATGACTCCGGATTGGTGATTTGAAGGTTCTAATAAATTCGTATGATTATTTTGGACTTGTACATATATTTGGTTCGGCCTCGGGTGGCTCGGGACTGATTCAGTACTTCTGTTGAAAGTTGAATTTTATGACTTAAGAGAATTTCATAATTTGAATTGATTTTTGATTCTTTATTTTGATGTTGTTATTCATTTTTTGAGTCTTTGAATAAGTTTGAATAAGATATATGAACTTGTTAGGATGATTGGACGGGATCCCGAGGGGCTCAGGTGAGTTTTGGGATGTTTCGAATCATTTTAGGCCATTTTGGGATTGCTGATTTCTGGTGTCAATGAAGTGAAACGTGATCGCAAAGCTTGTGTCGCTATCACGTAGAAGGAACTTGAAAAATGAAGTTTTGTTCTTCGCGGTCGTGATGAGGAGGACCGCGATCACGAAATGTTGGCAGGTACATCATCGCAGTCACGTGTGCTTGTCCGTGTTCGCATCGAGGTTGGCTAGTTGGTCGTCGTGATCAGGAGGTGTCTTTCACGTTCGCGTAGACGGGACACAATGCGGTGCAAGTTTATGCCCCCCGATCGTGTGACTTGGGGGTTTCCATTAAGGAATTGATGTAAAAGAAGAATCTATGTTAAATTTTATTAATTTTGGCCAAGATCATGTTTTATAGCTCAAGTTCAAATATATAGACTTATTTTCAAGAAGCACAAGAAGTCCAAGAAGCCCAAGATTGATTTCAAGAAGCCAAGACCATTTCTTCTTAAAATAGGATTTAGTTTATTCCTTTTAGAATAAGCATTTTCCTTTTAGTAGGATTCTAATTTCTTTTCCTTGTAGAATATGGATTTTACTTTTCTTGTCTTTAGTTATTTTATTTTTTTATTAGAATAGGAATTGTAGTCATTAAAGAAGAGACTCTAGGCCTATATAAAGAGTTCTCTTGCCTTGTAGAAAAAAAATTACGTTTTTGAGGCTTGCCCTAGTTTTACAATAAAGTATTTTTCTCTATTTTGTCTTCTTTATCCTTGTTTTTGGTTCCAATCAAGGTGGTGATAGTCTTTATCTTATTTTCAATTACGTGTGGTATTTCTTTATCACATTAATTGATTCCAAGTGGTGACTTTAGGAATTTTATAGTTCTTGATCATTTAAGAACACGTTTCTTGATCTAAATTCGTTTTTTTGATATCATAGAATCATAACTTTCCTTGAATCGGTACAGTATAAATATTTACTTGTTTTGAACGAGTAAATAGCCTTTCTTATAGTTCAGATCGTCATCTTTCACTCGTTTTTGAATCATCAGATTCCGAGTCGTAAAACTGATACGCTGTTTCTTGAAATTGGCCCACAAAACCACGTTTTCGTTTCAAGATCTTGATCCTGGTCGGTTGGTTCTTTGTTAACTCGAAGAATCACATCAATTTTGGTATCAGAGATATAACTCACAGGTCTACATTGACGAAATTATCATGTCCAAGATTCAACCAAGAGAAGGATTCTTTGTTCAAGAAGACGAAGAAACGAGACAATATGAATCTCTTTTACACTCTAGATGTACCTCCTATGGAAAAGTCTGTTCCCTGATCATTGATCGTGGGAGTCACATAAATATCATTTCTGAAGAGATCGTTACAAAACTTGGCTTGTCAACCAAACTTCATCCATATCCTTACAGCATCGAAGTTGAAGATAATGATGGTTTAGAGGTAACTCGTCAATGCCTAGTCTCTTTTTCTATTGGCAAGATCTATAAAGACCAGATTTGGTGTGACGTAGTGAAGATGGATACTTGTCACTTATTACTTTGAAGGCCATGGGTGTATGATAGGTGTGCTAAATATGATGAAGACCTTAATACCTATTCTTTTACAGAGGATGGACATAAGATTATTTTAGTACCGTTGAATCCCGAAGAAATTGCTAAAAATTTAAAGTTCAATGATGATTCTTTTGTGACCAAATTACAAATAATTGGTCCAATCAATAGAGAAAAGTCTTTGAATGTTGGTCCAATCAAGGAGGAGGAGCATGAACTGGATCTACAAGTTGAGGAGTTACCTCCGAGGTTTGATGATGACCCGTTGGAGCATCCCATATGTGAGCTTAACTTTTCACCTAATAGAGATGCTCAATATAATATTAATTTGATTGTTGATTCTATCCTTCCAAACAAGGCAACATATTGCATTAATCTAAAAGTCCATGATATTTTGCAAACACAAGAGGAAGGGTTGCTTAAAAAAGAGTCCATAATGGAGGGTTTGAGTTCATATTTTGTTCCAATTTTTTTCTTGCCCCCAAAGGATGAATATATTCAAGAATATGTAAGAGATCTCAACACAAATTTCATCAATGGTCATGATCTAGTTAAATATGAGCGTTGTTGCTGATGAATTTTCAAGAAGATATACTTCGATCTCCAAGCTTGATCCAATGGTACTTGAATTTGATTCTTCTAAGGGTTTTCGTGGAGCTAAATCGAATTTTCTTGGCATATCCTATAAGCACCACATTAACATGGAGAAGTTCAATATTTCTGAAGATCAAAACAATATAACTTATGATTATGGATTAGTGTTTAAAAATTGATTTAAGAGGATTCATTACAGCAATATTGGTACAAAGTTACTATTGATAAAGTGGGGTTTAGTTTGGCCACATGCTAAGCTTTGTTACAATAAGATGAAGCTCTTTGACAAATTAAAAAAATACAACTTAGAGCCCGGTGAATATGAGTTCAATCAAATTGCCCGGTGAATATGAGTTCAATCAAATTATGGAAATTGCCAATCTTGTGCTATTTGTGGAGCCTTTAGACTCGAGGAGGAGTCTTTCTCAACCAGGGGAGAATGATGTAAAAGAAGAATCTATGTTAAATTTTATTAATTTTGGCCAAGATAATGTTTTA